TTTTTTTTCCTAAGACATGTCCTTGACAGAGACATTTGTGGAGACAGTATAAAAATCCGTACTATTTCCAACCTTTGAAAAATGCAGCTGCTGGCTAAAATTTACTGCAATAAAGGAAGCTATAAACTGTATATGCTTACAGAAGATCTCATTTCCTATATTTTTGCATACAGATAGTCTCAACAGGCTGGTGAGTAAATATTTAATGCATGGTCTCTGTTGCAGAAATGAACAGATAATAATTAATAACACACAAAGGTATTTTAGAACAACTGATTTCCTGTAAATATAGCTGATTAAAAGGCAAAATCCTGAAATCTTTATTTAGGCTTTACTATTTAAAGCCTCAATCTATGGCTGACATCCACAGGTATAATTATTTAACTTAAATTTGAGCAATATGTAAGGGTTCAGCCAGCCCCATTCCAGAGTAAAACCAATAGGAAGGAGCTTCTGCAAGGGTTTCCTTGACAAAGTTTCTATTTGACAGCTTGGGAAGAAAAGAACCAAATTTCTTACCTCCATGAAGCAGGCTGCATAATACAACTTCTCCCATACCATGAATCCTGTTTAGTACTATGATGACCAAGGCTCCAGGCCTCAGGTGCCTCCTTCTTCTTTGGCAACATGGATCTAACAGAAACATGAAACCAGCACTAACAAATTCAGCTATTACATTAGTAGCTAACAAATCCACAGGCTAATCCCTTGATACAGTGACTATACCACAGATGGGGACCTCTTCCAAAGATAACATGGTAGGAACTGTATTTTCTTTCTTGCCCGATGTCTAGTTGAAAGAGTGGTCAGCTCATCCTTTTTGCAGACATCCAGAACTTGAAATTGGCCCTCTGATGGGTATGAAACATGCTACTGTAGAGGAGCCTAGGCCACTTCTATGAGGAATAAGGAGTGGTGTAAGGTTTGGGCCCATTATTAGAAGTGGGTAGGAGCAGGGAAGTCTTGCCTTTGTAGAGTTGCAATCAGTATATGACTTCCCTCCCAGCCTCAGGCCTCCATTCTCCAGCTGATAGACAACAGATGGACCAGTTACAAAACAGAGTGTTTTCCCAGTGGGTAATTTCAGCAGAGAGAGACTTACTCAGGTTTTTTTTTTTTTTTTGCCTTGGGCAGTGCCAGTATCACATGGAGTTCGATGAAACTGCTTCAGATGCCTCAGCTAGCAATCAAAGACCTTTCCACGAGTATTTTTATATATAATCAGTGCAAAGGGTATGAAGGAACATTAGTCTATTAGCAGAGAAGTTCTCATGCACCTCTCAGACATTGCCCTAAATTGTGTACTAAGCTGCTCTCCTGTTTACTGCACAGCTCACTCACCCGTTGCTCCAGACTCCTTCTAAAATGGATGAGAAAAAGAGTAATTTCTATAAAGGCTTCTGAAAGACCCTAACCATACTGGTCGGAAGCCCTTCTGCATTTTAGGCACGATAATTATGTTGTTTGAGCTCATGTCTGTCTTTCCTTTCTTAGTACAGTGCTGTTGATAAAGAACTATATGGAGTTCATGTGAGTTATTTTGAGCCATCTGTTCTGGAAAGAACATTTTTTGGTATTAATAAGGAAATTCACAAACAGAAATGTTCTGTTTCATTATAAAATTATTGCTCACAAAGTAAAGATGACTAACCACGGATCCGCACTGGTGAAGGTGGATCACTGCTAAGTTTGTAACCAGCAAAGCCTGATCAAGTTTACAGAATATGTAAGGAAAAGAAAAAGAAGTTGCATTTTATCAAAGTTTTATAGCTGCTGCTATAGGTCTTTATTATCCCAGATCAACATTCACGTTAAGAAAAAAAAAAAGAGAGAGGGAGAGAGAGAAAGAGAGAGAAAGAGGGCACTGTTGTTTTAAATTGATTTTAATATGTCTTTCAGGACAGAAAAAAGGTGTAGATCCAAAATTTGTCTGAAAAATCTGCATAGGGGGAAAGACGTAAGTATAATCTGCATATTACTATAGAAATGCTTAATTTTATTTCTTTCATTTTATAAAGTGCATCATGCCATAACTGTAAGACCATATATAGCCAAATTAAAAATTAAAAGCTTCAAAACCCTATACTGCATGTGAAGAACACACCTGAACAGGAAGGCCACATTATAAAGGTAAGTGTGAGAAAATATGTCAAATACATTAATGTATGCAAGTGACTCAGTAATTGCTGCTTTTAAAAAAATCATAATCTCTACAACAAATTATGCCATTTTAGTAGACATTTACCCTTATTCTTCCATCAAGATATCTAACAGGATGATGCATCAACCAGTTTTAGTCATTATTATTGCATTTGGCTGGGGAGAAAGAAGAAATTAAATTCATCACAGTGATTGTTATTAAAATGAAATTCCAAACAATATGAAATAATCCACACGGGAAACAGTCAAAATGAATGCAAATTTACATTAAAAATATTCTTATTAAAGGTTGTGTCACTCAGTAGACTAAAGAGCTTTTAAACAAAAGCCCAAACTTATTCATATTTAACTCAATGATAATGCCTACGAAATTCAGTCAGAAGAGAGCTTTCATTTAAAAAAATCCCTGCTGTGAAATGAAATGCACAATATTATTTTTACCGTAACAAAGTCAGTCAGGGGATAATTGTCTATTTTATGATGCCCATTGACAACATCACTGGCTTTTTGAAGAGTCCTTGAATGCAAAGACAGGCAACTTACTTAATGGAAACTAAATGATTAAGTGAACAAGAGACAATAAGCCTGGGAAAATTAAGCTAACTAAATTTTTCAGTATGCTGAATACTTCATTCAGAGCTGATCATTTAATCCACTTACTCAGCACGCTGAGTGGCTTGTTAGTCACTGTGGACATAGCCTATAATTCAACTAAAGCTTAAACGTAGTGGCCATCCCCTAACACAAACGCACTGATGAAGATGAGGCCAAGAAATGGAACAGTTCTGTATCACCCAGTAGGTAAATGTCATAAGGTTGAGCCACATTGAAATTAAAACTTGATTAGTGTATCTCCAAGTATCTTTATGCTTAAAGGTACTTGTACCTCATATAAATGAGGTACATTTCACAGTGCTTGTAATATTTAAGCACTTTTTCAGCACCTTTCAAAAGCGCTTTACAAACATTAAATATGGTCAGAAATCCCATTGTTTTTTCATTGTAACACCTATAAATACGCAGGGGGAGTACCTCCTCATCTGTGTTAGAGTAAGGACTACAGGACTTGACCCACAGTCCTTAAAAAAAGCAGTATAAAAAGGGTAAGGAAGTATTCCTAACCGCCATTTTACCGATTATAAAACAGTAGCAGGGAGGTTAAGTGACTTGTCCCAGATGATCAAAGGAGTCATAGCTGGGCTCAAGATTCACAGCTTTGGGCTCTTTTTATTAGACATAAGGGTATTTGGCTGCGGTATAAAGCCACAGTCTGTGGTAAACTGAGGTATGAAGAGACTGCACTGCAGCCAGAGGGTGTAAGAAGAATTCCGCACTACAAGCAGCAACACATCTGTAAGCAGTTAAATTAAGTGCTTACTATGTCCTTATACCAGCCCTTTTGTAATTTTTTCTTAACACAAATGATTTTCAACACTAACAGTTATCTGATAATTGAGCAAAATAAGACAAAGTGGATGAGTGCACATGAGATAAACTCTACGTGCTGGAAAGCCCATTGACAGGTTTTTATTTTTCCCTATCTCTGATGCAAGGAATATCATCATTTTGTATCCTTGGAGTTACTATCTCAGAAAAGGGATATATTCACATGCAACACAACGGCATGACTAGGGTTGTGATGCCATTTCCACAGCATCTGGAAATGATATAAATACGTTGTGTTATAGCTCTCCGAGATACTTACAGAAAAGGAATATTTACTCTGAAAATTCCATGGTTATGGAATAACTCAGTTTCTAGTATATTCGTTTCCCTCTACAAGAGGTAGGCCTCAGGCCTTTTGAGACATCTTGAGGTATAACCATTATACATTTGAAGATCCACAAAGAAATCCAAGTGTATTCATGGAAATTCTGGGGACTTCTTTGTTGCTCCTCGCTGTCCAAACCCTAGCTGCCATACATTCTCCCCTTCTATAAATAGACATTACATCTTGCTGAGGAAGGTCAAAATGTGCAAAGGGTGTAAATACTGCAGTAGTCATCATTAAGTCATGCATTGATTTATTCTTGGAAATCTAGGAGCTGTGGAAGCAAGTGTGCCATACAGAGCTGCAAGTCCCAAGTTCCTCACCAGGTATGTACAGTAAAAGTTTGGAAATTAGAATCACAAAGTTAGCAGGAAGAAACGTCTCAGGTTCACTGAGAAAATACAGTATGCTCTCTTGGCTCCACTCTCCCTGTGTGTTTTGTAGCCTGAGGACTTTCTTCCCTTCCACTTTCATTCATTTCTTCCCTACTGCATAAAATAAAGACAGCACATCTGACTGTCTCTACTACAGGGAGCGTCTGTTAATATATAAGATATTTAAAAGAATCATGAAACAGGTCAACTTTCTCTAATTTTGCCCATCTACAGATGTTATCTCAGCTACTAGATTGTGCTGTGTGATAAAAACACTCTAGCTTCTCTCCATTTGTTTTAGTGGGTTATTAAAAAAAAATCACAGGCTTATAGAAAACTGTGATAATTGCTTTGCATTGTGCAGTCAAATATACCTACCTAACTTCACTGTATGTTAGGAACTGAAGAACTGTATAATCCAACCAATTTACTACATGGTATCTGTCTTTTTACTACCAACCCCAAAACACAGATGTTTTAATACTTGAAGAACAAATCTAAACTTTACAGTTCTACAGTCACCCAGTAATGACTGGAAAATGTTTTAATACTTATTTCAGCATGAAGAAGTAATTCTATATGGATGTAAAACACTTTTGAACAGTAACATGGCTCAAATTTTAAAAAAATCATTTTTTCCTTATTTTGTTACGAATTTGTAATACTTTTTGAGTTTCTGATGCTGGCCACTAAGTAGATATTACACTGAATTTACTGAGAGCTTCAAGATAAATAAAATGTTACAATACAGAATATATGTTTGGTTTCTATTCAATTCCTAGAAGAACAGGTTGGTTTTAAATAGCATCTCCATTTAAAGAGGAAGTAGTAAGGAACAGATGAACACTAAATTGTGCTCCTCATCACTGAAGTTCTTCGTTTGTTTAAAATAGCTGGATCATTGACTCTCTTGATTTTCCAACTCCGACCCATTTAACTGGGGAGAAAAAAACAACTATTAGAACAATTACTGAGAGCATGCGTTATAATGAATTGTTATCATTTTTATCTTTTCACAGTGTTTTAGCGTAAACTGGCCAGTTCTGTGCTGAAAAAAAAAAGGCCAGGAAAATTTACTGGCAAATATTACTTTACTTCTGCTGTATTGCCAGACTAGAAGTGCAGTATACTGAAGTTTGATAGCATGGAACAATTATACCATAAACAGAAAGCATCGCAGATTGAAGGCCTAATAGAAGGTGAGGCACATCTGTTGCATGTTTAATTGTCATTATCTTGAGTAATAGGATGTCTAGCTAAATCCCTGCAGAGAGGACGCGAGAGCTCGGTCAGACTGTAAAGTTTTCTTGCTGTGGAACTGGAAACAGTGATGCACATGTGCTATGCTATTGTTAAATGTAAGGCTGCAATTAAAAACGTTACCTCGTGGGAGCAACCACCCCAAATGCCCTACTGTGACTGTTTCAGTGCAGTTTTCATTGTCCATGGATACTATAAAATTGACTGTAGGTTGGTACCCTTTGACCATCAAATCTCCTACGGCACCCTGGCTCCTCTGCCTTCACACTGAGAACTCAAGACAAAATAAAGGGAGTTTTATTTACATATCCCACCAGCCACATCTGTGTCCATAACCACACACAGGCCATCTGCTGAGTTGCGGGCACTGCTATCAGATACTTTCTAATTCATGAGCAATATCAGAATTGCCACAGTTGCAACTAGTTCATACTCCCCAAATCTGACTTTTGAGGTGCTTTACGGAAAATGAAAGCCCACATGCCAGCTTTCTAAGTTCTATAGTGAAAATTCCCTTCCAAACTGCAGCATTCATGCCACACCTAGTCCCGGGCACTTCTTGAACTTCAGCACTCAGAGTTGATGAAAACTGGATTAGCCTCTGGAGACTGGTCATGTTAACACCCTAATTTCCAAAGTGGCAGAAGCAGGCTAAACACTCCCCGGCACCTGTATCTTTTATGCAGTACATCTCATAATGATAAATGTGAAAGAGAAAGGAGGAGAAAAAAAAGGGAAGTTTATCTTCAAGCAACGATGCAGGAAGTAATGTGAAAGGAAGAAATTAGCCAAGGGAGGACATTAGATTTAACTATGCCCTGGTGCAGAGATCCCAGAGCTGTCACTGACAGAAGGCAGCAGTTCGCCAAGCACAACACATGGCCATCTTTCCTCTGGTTAAGTCCTTGCCAGCAACAGCTTGGGGCTGTCTGCAGCGCCACAGAACTGCCCACAGAACACTGCCCTTTGCTGCTTCTGTGCAAGTTGCCATTTACCATCGTCACCCCAACCACAGGTGCTTCCATTGCACGCAGCCCAAATCAGGCCACTCCTCAGCTAATGAAGCGAGCATTTTCCCCAGCTGGATCTGTGCGGTGCGGCATCCTTGTATGTACGTCTGAAGACAGATTTACCTGGCACTCCAACATGGTTTTCCACACATCGGATATAATTCTGGGCCTTGGGTGGGAGGTCCTCCCATTTTCGTGCACCAGTTGTGTCAGTCTTCCACCCAGGCATTGTTTCATACTCTACTTCCACCTTCTGTAGTATTTCCTGATTAGCTGTGGAATAACATTTTTATCACGGTTGAATTTAGCTGCTCCACCTTGACCTTCAAAGTATTTTAACAAAACTTATAATCCAATATAAGAAAAAACAGTATTTCTAATGTTGGTAAATCCATTCATTCCTAAGTTAGATTGGCCTCTATTACTGAGGAAGATAACTTGTTCAAGAGGCTCCAGTAGTCCAGTTTCCCCTTGTCAAAACTTTATGATGCACCCTATGTTGTCAGAAGACTACAGTACCATTTTGAGAAAACACAGTATTTTAAATTTACAGTAGTTCTATTTTTTGGTTCAGATTTGCACATAATAAAATAGAAATCCTCCCATAGACAAGGCACTACACTTCACCTTTATGGAACAGGGTTAACCCAGGCCTGCTACAAATGTTGATGTTTGCAAGCCCCACTAGACTTCTCATTACGCTGTTGTCTACAGCTGCAAACTAGTAGCCATGGTAGGAAAGCTGGCTGCTGCCAACCTTCCTCAGCCCTTCAGAATGCCCCTCTCACAGCAGACTCACTGTGGGGCAGACAAACAAAAAACTAAGTTATGTGTGCTTCTGCAGCATGATCAAGAAGATGTAGATTCTTCATGGAAGCAGGAAACGTATCATTGGAGATGGTTTCTGCTTGCCTTTGACCTTTCATTAGTTTAAAGAGTTAATCTGAAAGCCTGAGGAGACAGCCATTCAGCCTTAAATTCAACAGAAATCTACCGTATTCAAAAGTCTTTCCTGAATAATAATATGGTATAGCGCAGGGCATTTTTGACAGAGGTGTGAAAATGAAAAAAGGAGAGGAGTATTTACTCTCGAAAACATTGCTCTTGTAAGAAAACTAAGTATTATTTAATTAATATTATTACATCCTATAAATTTTAACACAAAGTATATTGAGAGACAACATACATTTTAATTAACTACAAAGTTATTGCTGCTAATTATAGTTATATGATGGTAGCCTACAATATAGCAGCTTAACTTTGCATGTATCTATCTCATCTTCACATAGCTTAAGCACTGCTTTTATTTCAACTTTACTTCATTAAAGGCTCCTGCCAATGACACCCAGCAACTGACTTAGATCTTTTTGACTTTCAGATTTCTAGTGGAATAATGGTGTTGTTAATTAAAAAAAAAAATTTCAGGGGATCAGACAGAGGCTCTCAGACAAGACTTTATTTGCTCTGAACTTCTTGTCATCATCTACACAGACACAAGGTGAATGAAAAATGCTAATTACTGATACAGTAATCTTTATACTGATAGTACAGTTCTGCAAGTTTCTACATGAGTTATAGCACAAAAGAAATCAAATATAGTTAAAAAAGCAAACAGGTCTTCCTAACATGTAAAACTTAACAGGTGTGAAAGGGAAAAACGAACACAGACATTTAAGAACATACCTGGAAAATATGGAATTCTTTTTCCACCCAATTTGTAAGCAACGCCAATTTTAATCTCATCAAGGACATCAAGAATATCCAGTTTTGTTAATGCCAAACTGTTCAGAAAAACATTCGACAGAGTTACACATATGATGAACCTTTCTATCATTAGTCTCCTTAATCTTTTCCACGTGTCTTTTCTAGTTTTATATTCACGGATCCAACTCAGACAACCCAGTAAACAGAAACACATAAATATATTGAAGTATGAACATTGTTAATTGAATTCATACCTCCGGGATGAATGCATGACTGAGTTACTAAGATTAATTTCCAAATGCTTGGCTGCTCGTACAGGTGAACAGTGTTCAGTTATATCCCTTTAAAATGCAAGGTGACTCTGTAAAGAGGTGCTTGTTGGACTTGGTTTGGGTGTACACAATGGCATGTCACTTTATCTCACTACTATTAATTACTCCTATTATTCCTGCAGATTCACAACAGCTATGAGACAGACTCATTTACTAAATTCCACTTTTAAAACCAGACTTTGCAAGCATAATCTGGCTTGCTAACTATATACGAAATACAGTAGGAAAGACTTCAGTCTAACTTTCAGTACTCTGGCTCTGTAAGGATATCATGAATGCAATGATTAAAAGAAAAGGCCTTTTGAGAAAGAAGCAGCATAGAGCCTTTTTTTCTTTTTTCTTTTTGCCTTTTGTGAGGGACTCATCTCCATCTGTTTTTTTAATGTCACAGTTACCAGAGATTACACTGTTTAATAAAACAGTGTAATTGGTGGAATTGTAGCAATTGCATAGAACTGAAATAGAAGGAAATAAAATGGCTTCCTAATACTATTTCCACACAAATTAGAGCTACGTAAGCTAAAGCAAAGTATAAAGCTTAGTAAAAAAAAGGTTTTAAAAGCCCTTTGATAAATAATGCAGAAAGATCACCTTGTGTATTGTTCCTTTATAACATTATTAGTAAAAACAATACCAGTTAAGTTGCAATTTGTAAGCTAGTAAAATGCTTAGGTTCACGTTTGTATATAAGAACATGTTTGTCTGAATGGATGTATAAGCCCACACCTTACATGAATACAATTTTACTGAATCTTTTTCAACTTTATGCAAAAAGTTTATGAGTTTTAGATTAACAGCTTATGATAGTTATTCATTTCAGTTCATATCTTTAGTATTAGACAAAAGCTAATTTGATGGCATTAAGGACTTAAATGGTTCCTTTAAATAGCCACTTTTTCCTTTAAAATGGCAACTTAGAATATACTTTGAATTACAAAGTCAGCCAAACAAGTTGCTAAGTGCCACCTCTCGGCCCATTTATAATACAGTATTAGAATATATCTTTGCAGATAAATGAGATTGGAATGAAAGCTGTGCTAGCTCCTGAACACTTTGTGTCATCCTACTTATTTCACTTGAGGAGGTAGTGTGTGCAGGATCTAGTCCTAGAAGTCTGATCCGCTAGTGTCAACAGAAGCCTAAAATCAGTGTACTTTAAATCATGATACAAGGCAATATGAGAGCACTGGATCAACAACACTACAGTAAACAATTCTAGTGAAAACTAACAGATACATTGATTCATTCTACATTGGTCATCTGATGTAGGTAAAGTGAAATTACAAAAAAATCATTATCATGATGTTGTCAATTTACTTGATTTGAAAAAAAATTATTAGGAGATAGATATTATTATCATTAAGACAACTTTCAGTTGCCCACTGTCAATTATTTCATTGCTTAAAATGTAACACTTTACTGGATTTTCATTAAAGTTACCTACATATTTTATTCTGCGAAGCATAAAATAATCAGTTCCAAATGTAGCGCAAAATCTGTGATGCTTACGCAGTGAATCCGTTGATCATATGAGCATATTTCAAAATGACAAGATCTAACCAGCCACAGCGTCTTTTTCTGCCTGTGGTTACCCCCCACTCATGGCCACGGGACTGTAAAAGGTCTCCAATTTCCTAAAAGATAAAAAAGATGCCGGTGGTATTTCACTAAAAAAGGTAATAAACAAATAGCAAGAAATATCTAGTTGGTCAATTCCTTAAAAAAAAAAGTTCTGTTTTCTTAAAAGGGGACTTGGAGAGTAAAGACCCACATGCCCAGGATTCTTACATCTCAGTCACTACTTACGTATCTCAGTCACTGTCTTTCCAGAACATTTATTTAATATGTTTTTCTCATGTTCCAGAGAGACCCTTTCTTCCTTTTTCATCTGATAGGAAGATTTCCTTGACAGCTCAGCCCTGTTTTTTCTTTTATGAGTTTATGTTTTGCTTTCTTTATCTGGTCTTTTGGCATCTATTGTTTTTGGGTTCAGAGTGTAAATTCTTTTAACGAGATCAGTGTCCATGGCTAGGACTCCTATGTACTACCACAGTGTAAGAATGTCAGCTGTTCCCTTTGGGTTGGCAACTTTTGTAGTGTGGAAAAAATTAACAACAAATAAACTCTACTCTTACAATCCATGAAACTTATGAATTATGAAAGAAATCATCAATTCATTTGCAGCCATTAGAAAATGGATTTTAGGGACTACTTCCTTCAATCAGATTCAGATCAGTGACCTAGAGAATTCTGTGTGCACGGCTCATAATCAATATCTTGAGCTTTTTAGTTTGTTGATAATGAAAATACAATACACAGTTTAAAGGAATCAGAATCTCTCCCCCTCTTTTTATTGACCAATTTGTGCATGACTGGGCTGATGTACAGACCAAATTTATTCTATAAATCGTTTGGAACAGAGGCTGTTAAGCACAGAACTGTTGTATAATTTAACCTTTCCTGAGATGCAGTCACAGTTCTAATCCAGGACAAGCTTTTGCCACTGAAATGCACCTAACAATATTACATAAACTGACGAAATCTGTTTTCACATCACTCATTACAACAGATCTATGGTCACCGTAAGATAACATCATCATAATGGTGTTTCCCTCCTTTGAGTAAAAAAGGCCTTAAGTTCATCATGTAGTTCTACAGTTTTCACGAGTGTGACTGCTTGGCATTGTTATGGCATTTATTTGTTGGTGGGAAACCCATACCCTGCTATTAAAACATGCTATTCCATTGACCTTATTTCTTGGCAACTACACATATTGCATTTTGTAACATTAGACCTACATTAATCTGTTCAGTGGGGAAGGCTCCAATTCCCACCCTAGTAGTATATGCCTTCACCACGCCATATACGTCACCAATATGCTGGGGAGGAACACCAAGTCCAGTGCATACACCACCTACGGTGCAGTTTGATGAAGTCACGAAAGGATACGTGCCTATTAGAAAAACAAAACAGCACAGCTTTGTTTCAGCAATGATATGAAACAATGATTGACTCTCATTTATTACTTCAAAGGAGATTTTCACTCGTATGGTTTGCAATGAGGAGCTACAGTAAACTTTAAAAGCAGACACAGAGTAGGGTGAATTCTCCTTACTACGCATACCCGTTCTACTTTTAAGAGAACAAATTGTGCTGCTCTTCCTCATCTTGCTTTCTTCTGCCATGAATGATATATATTTGTGTTTCTGAAACTCCACAGAATCACTCTCAAAATGAAGAGCTTTTTCCACACAAAGAATGGACTTACCATTGCATTTTCTGTAAGTGCATTTTTATGCGATCAGGAAGTTCATTCAGCCAAATAGGAAAAAACCCCTAACTTTCTTATACTTAAGGTGGTACTTCCCTCAAGTATGTGCTATCTGTTCCTATGCATAAGGTTTTCTGCATTCATCCTTTGCAATTGTCTTTGAGGGTGGCCCATAACGGTGGAATTTAAAATGATCTCGATACTATTTTAATTAGGAACTCCATTTGGACGCTGTTGCTGTGCGAAGCTTTCTCCGCAGTCCTTTGTATCACAGAAAGTATTTCTGCAACAGTCACAGACAGCCTGGCATAAAGGTCATAACTTGACAGTCCCGGTATTCTAAACAAGTGGTTCTGAATATCTGCAGCTAATATCTGGCCTCCCTGGACTGGAGCATTTCCTCAGTTCTTTATTCCATCCTCGTGGAGACCTGATGGCTTAATTAAACTTTTGGTAAGACAGCAGAGATCAACTAAAGAAGCTAGGTTCTTAAGTTACCTGCACTGGTTTAATGCCTATACACACACACACATGCACGTGTACATGTACATGCACATGCACACTGCAGTGGGTGCTTAGGCTGGTGGCCGTGTGCACCCAAGTTTACATGCAATAAAGAGTGAATTTACACATGCAATCTAGAGTGAAATTTCAACCCCACTGGGACAAACTTCAGTAAGATCAATATTTAAACCCTAAGTGTTTAATCCTGCTAATGGTACAATCTCTGGTTTTTGTGCTTTACTTTTGGGAGATGTGCTCCTATTAAAAATTATTTTGTGTCTCCTATTAAAAATTGTTTTGTGTGTCTATTTTCCTACAGTTTCCAAAGTGCATGTAAAGGCAAAGCAAAACAAAACTCATCTTTTAGGAGTTAAATCAGCTTTACAATTTAACTTACCAAAGTCAATATCAAGTAATGCTGCATTGGCTCCTTCAACAAGAATTTTCTTTGGGGAGCCATGAAGAGCTTCATACATAAAATAGACACCATCGCGAACCATGGGTCTTATTTTTTCAGCATACCCCTGCAAATTTGAGTATAAATGTCAGCTTCCCCAAATAATGCTAGCTGGGTGGCTGGAAGCAGAGAACATTCTGATCACTTGAAATAGGCAACGTGCCGATAACCTTAATATGCCAGCATCGTTAACTGTATTTTGCCTGAAAAATACAATTAGCTTATATTCCATTAAAAAAGAAAAAGGAATGCATTCAATCACTCACACAGAACACATGACTTGTTACTCGAACACCATAATTTCTGTTCCATTTCCATTCACAGAGATGATGTATACCTACCTGATTTTGTTTATGAAGTATAGTCTAGACGTACTAAGGAACATATAGATGAGACTAGAACTCAGAAATAATGCAAGCTCCAAAAGAGAAGAATTACTACATCCAAATATATAAAAATATCTTCAAAGGTAAGGTGTTATCTCTGAACAACTACCAGATAGACCTTGTGAAATAAAAGAGATTATTTTCTAGCATACTCTTTTCTTATATATTCATGAAGATGTTTTACCAATGACTACGCTGAACTTATTTATAAGAAGCTATTTTTCTTATAGCACAACTTTCACAAATAATTCTTCAATAAGTACAGAACACTCAGACAGCCTAGAATTCAGTCATGGCTCGAATGAGACTGCTAACTGCAGGTGTCACCCTGGGTTCTCTTTACTACTTTAATACAATACAGTTATCTTATGCTGAAAAAGCAAAACATTATATGAGACTAATAATTACATCAAGCATAAAATCTATTTAATGCCCATATGAAGGTAATATTCTATTACAAAACATGTTTACTGCTATTAAAGGGTTTTATAATAATGACAATATGTATTTCCTTAATATACGTGCTTTTTCATTTAAATTAATTAATTATTTTAATAAGAAATTGTTCCTGCATATTTTGTGTTTACATTTTTTGATTAAAATAAGTTTTGATTTTTTCCTCTATATTTTTCCGGACACTGAAAACACATTACAAATGTTAAGTCCTTACCTTTAGCTTTTTCAGTTGCCCTTCTATATCTACTTCTAATGTGGGAAACATTGACTTGTACTGCTGTGCCAGATTTTTGAATCTGTAAAACATCAAAATGATGCCTACGTAGAACGTTCCTTGAGTTTGGCGAGAGCTCAGTTTATATTATATAGTGTATATACTGGCAGCTATGTAGAGAGAGTACACAGAACTTTGATACCTCAAGCAGAGCATTTCCCAATGCACAAAATTTCATTTTAAATTTTGAGAAACAATATGAAGTACAGGAAATACCCACACACATTCTTTCCAATTTTCTTCTCCTTCTTGAAGATTTATACACAAAGTTCTTAGGCAAATGTAAAAATATCTCCTTAAAAAGCAAATCTAATATCCAAAATGTGTCATTCTTTAATACATTACTCAGTGAAAATAGTTGTACCTTGAAGAAAATTCATCAAAGTCAGAAAGGAGGTCACAAATTCGAAGACCTGTTCGTGCAGCTTTGGAAGAATATGTTGGTCCAATCCCTTTCTTTGTTGTGCCAATACTAATTAAAAAGAAGCCCCAAAACATAAATAAATATATGCAAAAATATGCTTTATGCTAAGTAATTTTATTAAAGCTCTTCAGTAGGCTATATATTGGGCAGGAGTTCTGAGACACTAAAAAATATCAACGCTCTATAATTTTTATTAATAAATATGCATCAATTTTTATGCTTCAGCAGATTTGGATAAATATTGATTATATTCATGGTATGCAGTAAAGGATTAAGCCCTGGGTTAGGCTGAGACGAGCTTAGTTGAGAGTAAGTGCGTATATACATATATTATATACTAATGATGATTAGCATGCTCTCCTGCAGTACTACTATGCCCTTCATAAAAAATAACAAGAATAAAATGTAATTCTCACATTTTCACAGTTGCAGCAGCGTGTACACATTGTAATCAATAACCAGCTTTGTGAGTGATCAGATGGATGAACCTGGGTTTTCTATAGCTTTGAATTTTGTAGTTGATACTTTTTTGTTTACTATGATTCAAACTCCAGCTGTAGCTTTATTCATACCATCTCTATCCCTATGAGCTCTCACTGCAGCCTTTACCTTGATGAGGATAAAAATAGAGCTCTTTTTCTACTCATATGCCTCTTTTCATATGCATTTTAGAAACACACAAATTTTGAGATTTCTACTTGTCTTAAATTTGGTTGAAAGTGTCCAACAGGAACAAAACCTGATAGGAAACTAACAGAAAAGTAGAGAAGCGTGTTCACATAAACCTTTGCTCATTCAGAAGTCGTAATAATAAAGTATGCAAAGTTACATAGCGTGCTAATGTATAACATTAAAATTAAAACAGAAACTAATATCACAGTGAAGAGTAACTGAATATGCAATAAATGGCTACCAGTACAGAACCTAATCCTGCCAACACTTCAGAGACAGTTCAGGAAAGCATCACTATGCTGATATCAAACTGAATTGGAAGCATTGTTTTGTTGGAAATGAAATGCGAGGATTTAATAGGAATTTCAAGATGCCTGAGTGTGGAGCAGAGAACTGGAAAATGGAAATATGGAAGAATTCTGATCCTGCATTCAGTAATACCTCCAGAGCTTTTCACTAACATAAGCAGGAGCAGAAGAAAGCCACAGAATAAATAACAACAGCAAGCCTTTTTGCAGACGTATTATATTTCTACTTCCAAAGTAATACGCATTTTTTAAATTTGCATAGTCGTTAATGAAATTTAAATGCTGAAAATATTTACTTTTTTCCTTCTTGTGCTTGACGTTGTACTTCCTGGAGCCCATCTACTGCCTGGTGAAAGTCAAACACTGCAACAGAAAACCCAAAGGACACAATGGGAGAGCAAAGGAGAAAGGAGAAAAACATTCTTGAAATCACAGATATCTATAATTTCAAGACTAAATGCACAGCCTTTGTTATTGTTGGTAGTGCACAAGCCTTCTTATGTTAAAGTAGAGCTAGTACAGCCTAAAACCCTGTGAAAACATGTAAAACATTACGAGGGTACGAATTCCATTATTACGTTTCAGGTACATAATACAGAAAGAAAGTCTATTAGATCAAACGTATGACTGCTTTACAGGGTAATGAAGTTTAGCAGCATGAGCTAAGCTATCATTTGTGAATTTTCTTTCCCCTTCAATCATCACTTACCTATATGTGCTCTATCTGATATAATAAGTCTTTTCTCCCAATCTTTTAAACCTGTCAGAAGATATAAAGAAAAGTGCTCTGATTTCAGCTGCTTTGACTGGTTAAACTTGGAGATTTACTTTTAGATTTTCTGTATCTTTCTTCTAGTTTCTACAGCTTCTTGTTAAGAATACTGTAGACAAAATGGATAAAGCACAGGCGGATATCAAACTTTGGCAACGTTTTTGGTAACAAATTTTTTTCTTGTTTTCTTGTTTTCAGCTTTCGCCTTTTGTTACAGACAAAGATATTCAGTTTTTCTTTACAGTAGCAGAATGCTATCATTCACATACATTTCTTATAAATTGAACAAGATGAATCCTTTCTTTTTTTAAGGAAATAAGATTCTTACTTAATTATTAACATGATAAATCACTTACTTAAACTCCGTTTGTAGCTCAGAAAATATAGAATTTACACAGCATAATTTAAGTTGGAAGGGGCATCCGTAGGTTATCTGCTCTAAATCCTTGTTCACAGCAGGACTAATAGAGTTTCTCTTTGGGCACAGAAACTGGGACAAAGAAACTCTGGGTTAAATTGTCATCTTTGGGATCAAGGGAAGCTTTGCCATAGGCATCAGGATTTTATCTTCTACCTAATGTGGTATCAAATGCCATAAAATCCATGAAATTCCATGAAAACATTGCTTTTGAAAAACTGTCTAAAGGCTACAAGACAATTCAATATTTTTAATACTATTTTCTTCATTATTTACAATTCCAAATGTCGCTGCGCTAAATATTTATAGTCAGAAACCAAGGTTTAAAAAAGCCCTCAACTAGCTGTCATTATAAGGAAAGGTTAACATTTACTTGATACAAACCTTTCTTTTCATTCTTTTCAGCTTCTTCAAACAAGCCTGGTAAATGTATAACCACTCCATTACCTTTGGGAACATAAATGATTTATTTTAAAGCAGTACGTAAAATACCTATTCTTAGCACGTAGCACATTTAAACACTTGCTGTCTGAAATCTTATTAAAAAAAAAGTAAGGCTAAGTTTCTGAAGTTTCTCTCTAAGTGCTCTTGAGAACTTTTATAGATAAATCTTCATTTTGGGTAAAAAGCTACAAGTTCGCTGAAATCAGAAACGCAGAACTTGTTTTTTTTCAGATTTGAGTGTAGAGCTTGCTCTAAAGTCAGATGAAGAAAGTGGATTCTTTTATTTGATTGTCGTGGACTTTGTACCAGGCCTTTAGTCTCGACTGTTCACTGGTGAAAACTCAAAGAAATCAGTGGCCTTACAACACTGGCAAGTCCGAGTTATAGTATTCAAATCTTCTTCCGCGTTCACCTATTTTTTAAACTCAGCTCAAAATTGTGCTCTGATACATCAGCTTTGCTTTCTCCCTGCTACCGAGCTATAATTTAAAATCTGCATGTACCAACGCGATGTGGAAGATCAGATGTAGTGGGCTAAAATCAGCTGCTATTTCCTTCCTGGGAACATCAGAAATACCTGCAATAGTTTCTTTCAGCCTAAATTTAGGATAACTTACTTCTATTCCTTGCTAACTACCAAGAGTAAATTGCAAAGCAAGACAATATACAACAATATTTATCAGAAAAAAAAATCCAAAATTGCTTCAATCATCTACTTGGAAATTATCAAATGGGAAAAAAGTGGAACTAGAGGTCTGAGACTCAGCGAAGCTTACATTAATTTCTGGCATATTCTGTATATACTTTTTTTTTCTGAAAGCATCCTCATTTTGGACAAGTATACAATTTCAGTTTGCCTATCACTTAAATACACTTTTAATGCCCACTGCCAGATTTTTAAACTTGGATACATAAATTAGGCCAAAAGAGCACAGATTGTTGAAATACAGCATACAGGTTTTCTTTGAAGAGAAATAGACTTACGAAATTTGGGGTAAAAGCCCATCCATTTATTTATATTTTAGAGCAGCCTTGTGAAAGGTGCAGTTTATTCTAGAGATAATCATTATTTATAAAAAGGCTAAGTAAAATCTTAGGAATTCAGACTTGCAACGTCCAGTAAGGAATGCAAACTTTTTTTACGATGCCATTGGCAACCTTATGTTACGATACAAATATTACAGTAAAATATGACATTAGCTTCAAGAGCTGGTAATGTCAGCAAAAAGAGAGAAACTGAAGGATGACCTTCCAAGTAGGTCTTTGCATCATAGGGCCTATTTCTGGAAAGTCAGGAAAGGAAAGCTAGAGTTATAGAATATTATTTATTTAGCCTAAGGCTAGTGTTTGTGCCCTCAAAGTAGAGCATTTATATTTCTGGACGTATAAAAGAAATGCGCAAGCAGAGGGCAGGATTCAAACTTGTATTGTGAAGTATAATAAAAAGAGTAAGATAGAAAGAGGAGATTTTGCTTTCATTTTTCTAGTAAGAGACTAAAATGACACTGAATGTAGAATAATTCTTCATTTTAAAGCAGCAGTGAAATAAAAGTCAAACAGTTGAAGCTACAGCAAATCCTACTGGTGGTCATCTGTAAGTTTTCCTTTGCTTGCTACTGTAAAACTATGGGTACACCTACCCACCACATTATTTCCTTTAGTAAGTCCTTTAAGTAAGTGGCTTACCAATAAAAGAAATTGCCTTTGGGTTAATTATGCCACTAGGAAATAGATGGAAATCATATTCTTTCCCATCAACAACAACAGTATGGCCTGCGTTATTTCCACCCTGCAGCAGAAAGAAACACAAGATTAACGAACTTACACCACCACTTTAAACTCTCAACAATGATTTGGCAAGGTAATCTTTTTTACTTATGCTTTTATGTCTTAGGTCACTGTTTTCTCCGCCTTATTATAGTTTCTTGATACACTGTAGTATTGTGCAAAGGGCTTAGATGGGACAATTATATGGCCTGAAGATTTCAGCAGTGCTGTGTGCGATTGGGAAGCAGGCTAATTCCGTGAAGTTAAGGCAGGACTAGGGCAGAGCAAATGCAGAGTGGTGGAGGGAACTAAAAAAAGAACTGACGCTTTCTGGGAACAAAACTTAATTTAACTGCCATCCATGAAGAAGTGCCTCACATGGCTACACAAGCCCATCCTTTCCGAGTAACTTCTGCGCAGTGCGATGTCTTTGGGGGTTAAGCCTACAACACCCAACGTTTTCCTTTGAATGGAAGCTCTTCCTGCCCACCTCCAAAATGGTTAATGTTTCTCTGGGTGTTCAAGATGGAAGGTCTATATAAAGTTGGGAACACGTCTACCTTTGCAGCTTCACAGAATCTCTCAGTCAAGGGAGGATCTTCCCAGTCAACAACAACAAAAAGAATTTCAGCAACTTTTATAAAGTCTGCTGGAATTCACACCTTGTATGATCATCAACCAAACCTAAGAGTGGAGCTGGTATTTTCTCAAGAAAGTGATCTTTCCAAAAAGTCTTTAGGAGAGGATGATGAGACAAAAGGCAAATTTGTAAAGAGGAGAATAAATCAAGGTTATGAATTGATTTAAACTGGAACAGCAAAGAGGCTTCAAAATTAAAGGTCCAGTTTTCTAGATGAAGATGTTTTGCAGTGATAGAACTTTTTCTTCTACTGATAAGGCTGGAGAAACCTGACTGTCTGTCTGCTCTCGTGTTACCAGCCTTTCTTCTATTTTCCAGAAAGGATTATACATCTCAGTGAATTTGATATGAAGCCTGAATGATGTAGACTTGTCTGAAACGGTGGAATCTACTGAAATCAGAATGGAGATTGTGATTGGAAATGGTAATTTGTAAACAACGAAGAGCATTGGCTTGATGAGCGGAGTTGTTATATGCAAATTCTGTGAGAAATGATAACCAACCATAACGATTGATAACATGACATATATTGTTCCAGAGTTTCATTTAATTGTTTGCATGTAATCCACAGGAAAATAGCAACTGAAGCTCTTCTCAAAATGTGGATATATGCTGAAACTTCTAGTCACAACACAAAGCAAATAAAAGATGTAGGTTATGAGAAGCTCAGCTGGGTTTTTTTAAGCAGTGGGATGGAAGGAAACATTAAGAAATATGCCTTTAAATATAACAAAAGTAATTCTCAAGTTTTGGAAGGTGTGAGCTCAACAATGATGTTTAAAAAGATAAGCTGCTATGGAAGGCTTGCATATGAATTGTAACAGACCTATATCTCGGCATATGGAAAAATTGTGCATGCACAAATTTCATTTGATTTAGGAAACTACCGGATAGACCATCATTTGGCTGGGAAGGACTCCCAAGTGTCTTGCTAATAAAGAATTACAACTTGTCTGGAGAATACCGAAGAAAGCAAAACCTTCTTGGCTATTTAGTTCTCAGATATAATAAGACGGTTGTAAGAATCTGGATTTACTCAAAGGTACCAAACTATCTTGCAGGCTCAAATAATCATGCAGGAGACTCCTTTACATGATGTTTATGACACCAGGGATTGGAGGGACTGCAATGGTTGAAACACTAGCTTATTTTACTATAGAAACATAGAAGTTATGTGGTCTCTTTCTCAAGCCCTGCTTCTGAGATAATTAGCTTTCCTATTCTGCTTGCCTATACAAGATGAATGACAAATTTAGAAGAACGAACTCCATCTGGTTTAAGAGTCTCTCCTACAAACACCAGTTTTCACGTTTCCTGAAAAAATGAGGAAGCAGGCTCCTTCAAAAGTAGTAGTTGTTGCTAATATAATAGTTATACTCTGCTTTTATTAATCAATAGGGATATGAATAAATGAGATCAGGTTTTAGGACTCACAACTTGAGTTAATACTACTCCTAAATTATAGTCAGCAGTGTCTTCTTGTATGATAATATTTTAGACGTTTGGATATACTGGGGTGTGAGTGTTTAAGGCACTTTATGATTTCCAAATCTTTCCTGAACAGCTCATATCCAGACCAGCTCTGTCCCTTTCTTTATCACATCCTTAGAAAGGGATATTAATTTTAAATCCTTAATCAGCAATGAAACTGGCATATATTATTTAAAAAAAAAAAAACCCAAAATTCAGTGGCAGATCTTACCAAATAGCATTTTTCAAATTTAAAGCTGGTGTTGACAGCTCTGGAACCGCTTTTATATACTGCTCTTGTTGGTCTGTGTTTCCTAAAACAGTGTTTTCTGAGTATATTTTTACAACTGAATTTATTAAATTTCTGCAAAGTTCATTAAAATGGTAGCAGAGCATTGAATATCCCCAAAGATATGATCAAACATGCAAAACATACATCCAGTCTGAGGGACTGCTTTCTATTTATTACCTGGTCATCTTCACAAAATACATCTCTCAAGTTCAGCTTCACAGATATTTTAGCAGCATGTTGGCAGACAGATAGCTCAAAGTTATCTTTTTCTATGCTAATCTTACCTAATTTCTGAGAACCAGCATAGTGTCTGTGAGTCATTTCTTTTGCTAACAAAGTATAAATGGAGCCTGAAGGCTGAGGGCCATATAAAGTACTGAAATGCATTTCCAGAGAGATATCTGAATGAAATATCAATTCTTGAATGCTCTGAGCTTTGGCTCTGACAGGGAATAGATATCCACTTCTCAACTTAAATCAGTGGCACAACTATACATTCTGTACGCATGCAACATTCACCTCCCTCTGTTAAATATATCTTGACAACCTTTGTTGGTAATACTAGGTACTTATTTTCTAAACCGGACATAAACAGCACAATTTGACTCTAAGGCTGTAATGAGCCTCATGTCGCTCCAACTAAACACACTGCTGGAGGCAAAAATCAGAACTGAATGTAATTAATCCCTGATTCAAAAGAACAAGAGAATTTACAAGGGCAGCTACTCAACTCCCAGCATGATTAGGAATGGGGGGTAAGTGGCTCAGACCAAACACAAGGTTTCTAGATTTTTGCTGATTACCTGATGGAAGATGGAGAAACTATCTGGGATACTGTGTAAACTCTCTTCCTCTTCTCAAATAGTATTTCATTAAATCAATGTCAGCACTAATGCACAGTAATGGTATTTTGCAGACACTGAGGATGGTTCCACTTGGATCAAGAAGTCTTTGGTTTCTTTGCTTGGCCCTTGCTTCAAATGCTGCCTCTGCATAAAGAGCTGCCATTTCATATCCAGGCCCAGCTCACAGTATTTCTGCTGTGCATCATAGTACTGTGCACTGATCTATCTGATTTTTATAAACATATCTTCCACCATTTGCACTACTCTAGGTCTCTAAAAATTATATCTGTCTTCTTCAGTGGTTCTTCAAAACCTTCTCTAACAAAGGGAATGCTAAAGCGACTTCTCCAGACAGATTAATCACCCCTGCCACTTTGGCATCATCTATATTGTAAAATGATGGTATTACCAGAAATTACGATAAGCATTCCTTTCCAAAATCGTGAAAGCAGGGACATTCCTATTAAGCTACTCTGGTATGGGAAGTTCTGTTCCCAAGAAGGAACCATTAAGGGAGCTGCTGAAGCTCCAAAAGAAGTTGAGAGAGCAACTGGAATGATACCAGCATATCAAGTGTTAGTATCCACTTCAGTCTGAAATACCCCTTATGGCTCCTGTAGCAATTCCAACTTATTCTGTAGTGCTTGTGTCCTTTATGCTGTAGAGTCACTAGCAGAGAAGCATCTCTGCTAGTGACTCTGCTAAAACTGTAGCAAGTGCCGGAAACCCAGGTACATTACAGAGGTAATAGCTGGTGAAACAGGACTAAAAATTATTAAGTGTGCCAAAGACTACGTGACAGCTATCTCACTGTAATAACAAGAAAACATAAGTATCATTTAGGAAGGCCATCTCAGGAACGCACACAAAATCTCTCCTTTGTAGACCTTGCCTAGATACAACAATACCTGTTGACTATGGGACATGACTGTTATTCTTTGTATCAGCTGTATTAGTTTTAAGTTTCAAAGCGGGTAAGTGCTTGTTCCTTACAGTATTTGGTAGATGTTAAAGGTCTTCACATTTAAATCAAGTACCTAG